AAGTTCTTAAACCGCCTCTCCCGCTCTCATGTTCATTCTCATTCAAAGTTCATAAGCTCCAGATTAGATGATGTGAGGCATTTTTGAGAAGCACGTAGTGATTCAAAAAAACCATTTTAGAATGAAGACAGTGGTCCTTGTCCTCATTGTCGCTGCAGAAGTGCTCGCTGGTCCTGATGGCAATGAAGACTTCGAAGGAGATCTTAGTGGTCTCGTTAATGCAATACCTCTCCCACCGTACTTGAAGAATGTCACCGAGGATGCTCGAAAAGAGTATTTCGGCACGGTGTTGTCCATGAATAAGACAGTAGCGCAGCTGAAGCAGAACGTCCTGGAATGGGCACAAAAGCATGGAGTTAGAGGTAAGATCACTGAGCTCTTAAAGTACTACAAGTTCTGAAATCATGGCAAAATGGGGTAGAGGTCGCACTGCATGGAGTAGAGGTAAGATTGGCTGCTCCTGCTCTCAGTGTTGGTAGCGGAATCCCGGAGTTCCCATTTCTCCAGCTAACTATTCCTTGAATTGTCTCTGGCCAGCTCATTAACATCTTAGTTATGGGAGAATATGAGGTGACTAATCATGTGGTGGTTTTTCGTTGCAGACGCTGGGGCTTGTCAGGAGGGCTGAGTTTGGGGCGGCGGAAACCCAGTTACAGAATGGAGGGGGAGGGGGGGGAGAGCTGAGCTAAAAGAGTCGCGTCAAATTTAGCCCTATTCCTTCTGACATGTCCCGAGGTCGCAGGAAAATCGACTATACGTTGCCTGGCTCTGAAGGTAGAATATGTAATCTGCATTATGAATGGATAGATTTTCACGGAATGCTTTATCCTCTTGCTTTATCCTCTTGAGTATAATTGTGCTCGCCGGAGGCCAGATTTGTGGGACGAGATCAGTTTTGAGTTCGCCAGGCAACTGCAGCGTGCGTATAGGGTCGCTCGGACATTTACCCTCTGGTCATCGTAAAGGCTGAATGGAGAGTGGTTGAACCATGACGAATACCTTCCTAAGAACGCAATTTTCCTGAGCAAAAGCTTTGTGCGGCCATCTGCTTCCATAGCAATGCTGCTATTAAAACAGATGTTACAGTTTGGCACCGGGTAGGAAGGAAACCCAGGAGCTGAACGTTGCGCCCCTGCTAGACCTACTTTTCCGTTTCAATGCCGAATCCTCAACAGCCGTTTTTTTCTAAGTGCGCAGTTACAAACAAGCGTAGGGGCACTGTACCGCCGGATTTGAATTTTGTTTTTTTTGTTTCTAATGTTGAGTTCCCCGAGCTACTCAGAGTGATAACTCTAAAACGTTTCCTTCCACGTTAAGGCCGTGGGCGGAGACCCGCATTCAACACCCGTATCTTTATTCGTTGACGAGCTGCTCCTCCTAGGGTCATAAAGTAGTAATCACCATTGAAAAATGTACAAGGAACACCATCCATAAGCATCGTGATTTGTAGTCATGGGTGAGAATAATGTAGACTAATGTCCACATCGCTCACCCCTCCTTCCCCATGCCCCATCCTGTCGTAAGGAAAGGATATATGTGGTGTACTTGAAATAGTAGAAAACGAAGAAAGGATGAAAAGCCAATAATTAAAAACACTTTTTTCTAAGGGGAAACGCGAGCCCCTAGTTTCAACTACCGAATACCACTCCTCTCCTTGTTGGAGACTCCTAGTTCGAACCGCTATTAAATAAATAGTTCCGCGCCGCATCTTAAGGAGACAAGGCTTTGTGCAGTTGCTCCTCTGGTTCAAGATACTAACATATTTTATTTTAGGCAGAAGCACAGGAGTTTAACGCGAACTTGACCAGCAATATGAAGGAACTCAGGCAGAATGTTACAGAACTGATAAACTCATTGCCATCGACTCTCCAGCAGTTCGCCTCACTGATTGAAAATGAAAACCAAACTCCAGCGCAACTAAAAAACGCTACTGAAGCAACTGAAAAGCTTCCGAAACCTGGCAGCTCAGAATCCTAAAGTCAGTTGTATTCATTTTCTCATGATGGAAAATTGAGGTGAAAATCTCGGGTCATTGTTTAGGCGTTCAAAATTCTCATGTTTGCTCTTGGAGATCAGCTACCACGAAACGGCCGACCTCGTTTTGAAGGATTCGATAGACTTGGAAATATGATCTTCAACAACAACTTGACGAGCATTGTGAAGGAAACATTTGGAAAAATCAACGCCAACTTGACGAACACTGTGAGAGGTCTCCATCAGAACGTGACAGATCTGATAAGGTCATACCACAGGGAGCAGCTACTAGAGCGCCTCAAATGGCTGCTGAATAACCCTTGAAGCAGGCCAGGAATTACTTCCGACGACACAGGGCTCAGGATAAAAAGTTTCCAAGGTGAAGCCATGAGCCGTCCTGCTGAACAGTTCAGGGCTGTTCAGGACGCGGACAGCACTCGCGTTCGCTAAAGACCTTTGCCTGACTCTTTTGGCTCATATAGCCCGACCCGTCTAATCACCTAGTTCTACACCAAAAAAAACAAGGAAAAATTATCTTTTATAGGAGTCCTCAGTGTTATTGGTTTGGGGAAAGTTTTGGTGGATACAACGCAACAGATCTCGTTAGTAAGGTAAACCAACCGTTTAAGTGATACTTTGGTAATCGGCGATTATGTGTAATCTGTACTGTTTCTTCGGCGTTCTCCCTCACCCACGCAGATAATGATTTGTAATAAAGAAATTGTGTTTGTAACTCATATGCTATTCGAATTTTGTTATATTTTCAACGACAATTTTGGGCACGCAGCCTTTCGTCCCTGTGGGGCCACAAAGTGGTGCTCAGCAAAGATTATAGAGACCTAGATCTTCTAACCACAGTGGTGCCCTTGCATCACATTTTCTCAGGAGTTTACAGGTATCACCCAAGTGACCGTCTTCCAATACTGGACTGGTAGCAAAATAAAACAGGGAAATTTCAATATACCTCTCCCAAGACGAAAAAGCGTCGAGTCGACAATTTTCGATGTCCTTTCAAAAGAAAAACGATGTCGAAAACATTATACTCTGGATATACTCCAGCTTCTCTCGTGAAACCTCGGTATTGTTGTTACTCGCTTGTAAGTGCTGTGCCTTTTCGAGGTTTTTCAATGAAGTTGAGGAGATGTACACTACCCGTCAAGCGCCCAACCAACCCTAGCAGTTCCTATGATGTGTTCGGAATTTGACGCTGTAGTGTTTTGGTGGGGTTGTGTTTATCCCCATGACTCGAAAAGCGTTTAGGCCTCCGGAGAAAGACGACTACGTCGAAAGGTTAGGCCGCTAGGTAAAAATTCCACCTAAAAACCTCGAGAGGCACAGCAGCACTGACGAATTTAGCTCTGAATTCATCCTCTAGCTACCAATTTACCAAAGTAATTCAGTTTCCTGGTTCCCATTCCGTGATGGGAGAAGTGATTTTTTCGAGTCTATACCTAACACAATTTTTTCCAATGACAAACCGTGCAGTCGCATCCGTGGGTCCTAATCCTTGCCACGTGTGATGTGGACAGATCAGCAGCTTCAGTCGAATGTCACTTTCTCAATTAAAATGTGCATGGGAACGGGTCTGCAGGCTAGTAATGCCCGAGTGCCGTTTTCATACTCTGCCCGCACTGCCGCACGGTCAGCTACACGCCTAACCCTGGACAAACCCACCCCTACGAGCTCATGGAGCTGCCTACGAGCTCATGAAGGCTCACAGTAATTGCGACTGCCTGGTATAGCTGCGCAATTTTCACCAGCTTCTACATAGATTTTCGGCCGACGCTGTAAGTGACTGTAGGTCAAATTCACATTCAAAAACATTTACGTTCAAATGTAACTACTGGATTGGGCTTGAGTAGTAAATTGTTTGGTCAGCTGTTTCTGTTAAATGAATGGATGATTGCCAATATGTTCTGAACAGTTTGATGAAGAGTTTGTAGTTCCGTCAGTGATCAAGCTCATTTGATAAGTTCATGACCATGAAGCCATTTCTCTCAGAAAAGCCAAGTATTGCACCGGATGCCTAATTGAGTTCGACTGGGAGCTCACTGAATTAGTCAATTCACAGAGAGGAAAGCTCCCATGATCATACTGGCCATCAGCTTCGCTCGATGGGAGAACTTCAGCAACATGACAGAGGGGCTCAACAGGCAGGCGCTCCTCAGGGTGGCGTTCGGGCCAAATTTGCGATGCACATTCACAAGGACCAATTCCCCTCTGCGACCGATTGGGCCAACCGTAAGCCGTCTTAACAGGCTCCTTCGTCATACACATAATAAGTTTTGAGGCGCTTCTACTATTTAAGGGCAAAGATGGCAACTCCACTATTTGCGTCGGTTCCGATTCTGTGGAAAAAATTAAGTCAATTGGCACGATAAATCTCCAATACATGTAGGATTAATATGCCTAGCAGGACAGAGCTCGGCGCCCATGAGCAGGTGCAGCCTTTTCAAGGAAGTTACCTTTATAGCGTCCAATCAAGCTGCAAGGTACCGACCCGGACGCCCACCGTGCCGTCTGCCCACAATTGACCGACTGATGCTTGTACCGCTTCATTTGCGAAGTACACATATGAAGTGAAGTGATATGAAGCGGCTGTGGTGCTATGGATGTATTGCAGTACAACGGCATCCCGTCTATAAAACCCGTAACGGCTATATTGGCGCGATTGCCAACGGAAACGTCTGAAACTGTGCTTACTGCGTCCGTAAAACAAGAAAGTTTTTTGGGCCACTATTACCCTTTACTTTTGTTTTTTTTCTTTCCAGTCATCCGAAATCCGCCCGGTTCCTGACCGACTTTTTTCTCCGTGGGCAGAATCGCTGAAAAGTTGGCTCCAGGGGTAGTTCGACCCGCTGAACACAGCAATACTTGCATCCGCTTACCGAACCTGCTGGCGCCCGCGCCACGGGCGCCGGCGCCAAAATACTCGAAATCACCAAATTCGCTGAAAACTTGCTCCCAGGGGTAGTTCGACCCGCTGAACACGAATATCGCATCCGCTTGACCCGAAACCTCCTGGCGCTCGCGCCACGGGCGCCGGCGCGAAGCAGCGTTGTTTCGGGTCAAGCGGATGCGATATTCGTGTTCAGCGGGTCGAACTACCCCTGGAGCCAACTTTTCAGCGAATTCTGCCCACGGAGAAAAAAAGTCTCTGTACAGGACCGGCCTGATTTTCGGATGCTGGCAGTAAGGGTAAATAGTCGCCAGTTTTTTGTTCGAGGGTTGCAAAACTGTGTTCCCTGCTCTTTCCACACTTCTTCCCACTGCGCAGCTACCATTACTAGACGCCGATTGCCGAATTAGGTCGGCGGTAATGCCTTCAAGAAAAATGGCAAGAGAGCAGAAGAAAGTGAGCACAAGTCCCCTCCACAAGAGCTTAGAACATACCTAGCAAAGACACAATTGGCGGAAATTTTTTTT